AGGATTCGGAAAGAGTTGAATGAGTCTAATGGTGATTACGAAAGTGTTTGGAGCGATTATTTAGTGATGGCGACGTTATGCCTCCATTCATCTCAGACTCAACACAGAGGCCTATATCAAGTGTCTTGATGAGGTAGTGCTTCCCTGTGCCAAGAGAGTGGCTGCTGGAAGACCCTATATCTGGCAGCAGGACACTGCACCATGCAACACAAGTAGGAGAAGCCAAGCATGGCTGTCAGACTATTTCTGCGGCCACAGCACCCCTTGTATCTGGCTACCTAATTCCCCAGACTGCAACCCCCTTGATTATTATGTTCGGGGCGCAGCTGAGGAAGACACCAACAAAACTCCTTGTAACACCAAAGATGAACTGAAGGCAAGGATTATGGTAGCATTCACAAAGTTAAACAAAGAGGCCGCCCAGAAGAGTTGCAGGAGATTCTGAAGTTGCCTGGAGGCCGTGGTTGAAGCCAATGGTGATTTTTATTGAATAAATTTACTCTTTAGTATTTCAAGATATTTTTTTTGTGTCATTTTGGTAAATATGTCTGTTAAAATGAGATATCAGTGTTATTTTCATTTTTTTTTTTTTTTTTTTTTTTTTTGTGATTTAGACGACAATTTATCCATCGCACCTTGACGTTGACGATCATGGCACTCCACAACTTCCTGACCTTTGCAGCTTTTAATAAATTTTTGAATTATATCTTTTTGCTATATATCCTAAAACTTACTGCCTTTATTTCTTTTAATCATTTTTAGAACGTTCGAAATTTAGGGGAAATATATTGTTTTTTTTTTCTGCGTCATCGAGGCGAGGTGTGGGGAAGATTACTATGGGAAATTTTTGTTGTGTTGAAAAAAAAAACACTGATTCGGAAATTCTTGCAAAAATCCAATAATTGTCGTATTTTAATGAAACTTTCAAGACTTATTTACAAATGAATTAAATTATTATTTTTTTTTTTTTTTAGAAAATCTTGGTAAAAATATTTTTTACATCTGTTAATCCCCCCCTACGACTAATACTTATTCAATTTTATAAAATTTCGAGAAATTAAATTTTGTCCCGCTTAATGTTTATATTGGTTAAAAGCAGAATTCTTTGGAGAATTTAAATCATCAATTTCTTTTTGTAAAACGGAACACAATTACCGAAAATCTGTTCTGAATCCTAGAATAAAAAATGCAATAAAGCAACGTACCTCCACTGATTCGCTAAAAAAATTAGCATACCATAATGAAAAAATGCCCCAAAACCTAATAAAACAGTTTTATCGTCAGATTCGTTATGTTATTATTAAGAGGAAAGCCTAAAGGATTTTTCATTGTTAAATTATATCTTTTAATCCTTTTTAGAACGTTTGAAATTTTGGCTAAATATGTTGTTTTTTTGCCGTCAGCGGGGTGGAAGGCGAGATTAGTTTATGAAATTTCAGCGTCTTTTTGTGTTGAAAATCACATTGATTTGGAAATTCTCGCAAAAATCAAATGATTGTTAGATTTTAATGAAGCTTTCAGGATTTATTCACAAATTAATTAAATTTTAGAAATTTTCTTTTTTTTAGAAAATCTTGGAAAAAGGATTTTTTTTATATCTGTTATCCACTCAGCACCTATTTAATGTGATGAAATTTCCAGAAATTAAATTTTCTTTCGCTTAATGCTTATACTAATAGAAAAAGTAGAACTTGAAGAATTTAGAACATCTAAAACAGGACACCCAGTCACCAAAAATTTGCTCGGAATTGTGAAATAAAAAATACAGTAAAACTAAGAACTTATTTATTTAGAAAATCTTTTAATTGCTTATACGAATAAGATATATTATGGACATTATTGTCTGAAGAAAAGATCGATGAATAATGAATTTTTAAAAGTATTGTTTTCATTTTGTAAATTTTAATTATTATAATTAATAAAATTTTAAATATTTTAAAATTTTGTCACTGTAGAGCTTAGGTAATATTGTTATTAAGTAAAAACTAAATTTACTAATCATAATTGGAAAGCATTACTCCTCTTCATCAATATTTTAAAAAGAATTTTGAGATTCATTTTGTGTGTATATAAACGTGCCGATTTTTGTAAATACGAGCGTCCATACACGACATTATGAGAAAATAAAAGTGATAACTATAGTAAATTTAAAGCCAGATTACCTAAAATCCAATAAAACGGAGAATATTTTACTAAATGTTTAAGATTACTGAGTATGTGTAAATATATGCTATAAATAGATATTGTTAGTAATTTTACTATAAATAGGTATTGTTAGTAATTTTACTATAAATAGGTATTGTTGGTATTTTTTGTATAAAAATGCATTTTTATACTTCCATATTGTCTGCCATTCTTATAGAGATCAGTTTTCTTTCTTCTTTTTTTTACAGTGAGGTTCACTCTGTACAAGACCTGGGAGCCACTCGAGGTAGAAGGTTACAAAGTAAGAGGCAGAGTACATACGCTCATAAATATTCATCAGGTTAACTAAAATGTCTAGGTGATTCATGGAGGATACTAAGTGACGTCATTTCATGTCTAAGAAAAGAAAGACAGTAAATGATGTTGCTTTATTTTTTTTATTCAATAATAATTAATAATTAATTAATATTTAAATTAGTTTGTTTTGGGATTAATTTATGTGTTATATATTTTAAATAACGGGAGGTTATGAATTTAACCGCTTTATTTTAATTTTTGAACATTTTTATAGACATGTATGTTGGCTTGGGAAATATTTTAATTCTTTTAGGAATGGAGATATTTCAAAAACTTATGTGGCGCTATAGAATCTTACCAAAATATAAATTGCACATCTATCTAATTTGTGATAATTTCAGATTTACTAAGATCCCACGCTTTATTAACCCTAGACTTGAATCGGTTAAGAATTGTAATGAAGAGAGAATACATAGTTATTTCTCATCAGTGAAATACGGTGGTTTGGTACAATGGGCGTGGCATAGTGGAACCTTGCCGTGAAAGTTAGAACTGTTGGAACTAAGTAATACGGTTCGTCTGAACACTTTGTACGGAAATAGCAATAGTGCAGTCCGTGAGAGAGTGGTTACAAGATGGGAAATAATTCATCACCCACAAGGATGCGGAGACCGTTTTGAATATTGACACTAGAAAGTGAGGACTTGGCAGCTCCTGCTCTAATATAACACCAGTACTTTATTTTCGGCCTGAACTGGCTCTTGTAAAGGCTGAGGATAGCAGGTGGAGTGAGGTGCTTACCGGGGCAGTACAGGGAATAGACCGTTTTTCTCGCATCATTAACGATGTATCGTATGTGTCACTTGAGATCGAGGTTCAGTTTAAGTTCCAGTAGTCGCTCAAGGCACGAGTTTTCTCTGAGGGAACATCTATTCATCGTAATTTCAAAAATGGAAAAAAAGGCTTACGTCAATTTAGGCCCTTCTGGAATCAGGCTCAATGCACGGGTTTTCTCTGAGGGAAAATCAATTCATGGTAATATCAAAAATGGAAAAAAGAAGTCTTAGGTCAATTTAGGCCCTTCTGGAATCAGGCTGATGAAACAGCAATTAGCAACAACAATTCACAATTAAAAAATCGAGAAATTTTAAATTGCTGTAATATGGTAGGTTTACTAACTGCATAATAGGTAAAAGGAGAGTTTGCAGATTTTATACTCCGTCTCGCATTCTGAACTATCACCAATAACGATGAGCGGATGTTCCCTTGGGGAGCCCCGTGCCTTGTGTGTCTGTTGGGTCTTAAACACAACCTAGACCTCAAATGGAACTCCATCGCTAAAGTTGTTGGAAAAATGGCCGGTTCCCTGTGTCACTCCAGTAAGTCATATATGGGCAGGCGGTGCACAGTCTTCCCTTTACAGTCTCAATAGAGCCCAAAAGCCTCCCCGTGTCCTTGTGTTGATGAATTGTTTTACACCCTACAACCCTGTTCTCACAACGAAACGTCGCAAGCCTATCGCAGCTCTATCGATATTTTATATGAAAAGTGCTCAGGTGAACTACATTCCTTAGTTTCAAAAGTCCTAACATTTACGACTAAGACCCGATATGCCTCTTACATTGTAACGAACCATCGTCATTCCCTTCGTATTCCATTGGTGAGATGTAAATTCCATTTGAGCATCTTTTTCTCAGGAACCACTGTTTTCTGGAATCAAGAGGCCGCTTACCCGATCACTACAATCTTAGCCTGTGTAAGTCTAGGGTTAACCGTTATCTTTTCCACATATCCGTATAAACTGTACTCCTTGCTCTGTAACCCTCTACCTCGAGTGGCTCCCGGTTGTTGAGCAGGGTGAACATCACTGTAAAAAAAAAAAAATAATTATGTGACTCAAGTCTGACTTTCAGGAATCGATTATTAATGTCAGTTATCCTCACCTGATTTGGAGAGAGGATTACTGGAATTTTTTTTGTCTCAGACGAGTTGCTAGAATCACCAAAGAGAGAATGAGAGAGACAGGCAGAGAGAAACTGAGAGAAAGAAAGAGAGAAGAAACTCAAGCAAAAAAAAAAAAAAAAAAAAAAAGAAAAATATTAAAAGAATAAAAGAAGGAAAGACAACTAAAAGAAACGAGAAGAAAGAAAGAAAGAAAGAAAGAAGGAAAGGAAAAGAAAGAAAGAAGAGAAAAGGGATGAACATTTTTGCATCGTTAAAAATGAGGCGATGATTGATGTTTCGAGACGCTAATCTAATGACGTCACTAGTAAGGTCCTGTTGAGTTTTCCTCTTTAAGCGGGGGACCCAACAAACCAAAAGTATTATCTGACACAGAATTACCCTTAATGGAAGCATAGGAAATGTCGTCTTCTTCCGCCGACTCTTCAATCAGAGAAGCGGTGGGTAGTGAGACGAGGAGAAATGTCATGTCGCCATGTCACGTGGGAAAAATTGACCAATCATCGCACGGGAAAATATGCATGGTAAGAGAATTTAACTTTACACCGAAATTCACTCCGCAATATTTGGAAGAATTAATAAAGAGCTTATTCTGTATGTCTTTCTCTCTTTATATCTATCTATCTATCTATCTATCTATCTATCTATCTATCTATCTATCTCATATTATATTATACAAACCAATGTTTTCAAAACAAAATTAATATTAATCATCGATTGTGTAAAATATTTAGGATACTCTTATATTTATACAGGCAGTTTCATTCTTTCTCTCTCTTTCTGAATTCTGTTGAGGTTTCTTCTAGACTCGATGAATTACTTAATTATCTCAAATCCTCTTTAATTTCTATCATTTGTATATCCTTGCTTGAACCGGCTTCTAATGCTCTGAGCGGCTTGGGTATAGTAGTCGTGGCTCGTGAGGGCACAGTCCTATGGGTAAAGAAGAAACCCGGATGAGTTCCACCACGCTATATCGAGTCTGATTCGCTACCTCTCCATCCCCGAAGCCCATTGGAGCAGTTTGTCTGATAACGTACCTGTCCGGGTTTCAATTCTCGGTAGTGGATGCTGATGAGTCCTAAATATAGGACGAAACGGCCGTCCAGTTCTTTCTGCATTCTGTTGAGGTTTCTATTTAATTATCTCAAATCCCCCTGTACCAAACTTATCAGAAGATACGAAAAAATTTTACATAAAATAAATAGACAACACTTGTCTATATTATTTAATGAAACGTATAAATATATATATATATATATATATATATATATATATATATATATATATATATATATATATATGTGTGTGTGTGTGTGTGTGTGTGTGTGTGTGTGTGTATTAAATAAATATTCAAAAGTTTCGCAGATGGCATCATCAAGCACTAGATTTCTAAAAATACATATATACATATAATATATATATATATATATATATATATATATATATATATATATATATATATATATATGTGTGTGTGTGTGTGTAAGGTAGATTAGTCCCAATGCTTAGATATTATAATTTAAAAAAGTGCTAAACACAGCTCAATAATAATATTTATTAACAAAATCTTTTAAACCATAAAATGACCGTCTATTCTGCGGTTGAGCAATACCTGCCCTCTTTCTAAAGCCTTTTACCAGACTTGGTTAAACATTGACCATCTACTTACAACACGTATTGTAGTGTTACAGTTTGGAAATATTTTTTGCTGATAACTTCGTTATTCTATATTTGTGAAATGACGCATTGTAACTACCTTGTTAAATTAATGGGGTAGATTGGGTACTTCAGCTAATGCAGCCAATGACACGTGGCTAAGTGGATAAAAGGGTTGGTTGAAGTAATCTAGTGACTTGACACAAAGAGTTGTGAGTTCAATACCTGGCCAAAGCAGAGGTGAACAAAACTTGGAGAGGTGAATTACTGAAAATGAGATATCCAGAAAAGGCACCGCAATCTATTGTAGTTGCCCAAATAAAAGGCTCGGTTCGAAATTCCAACGTATATCCCCTGAAGAAGGCCGCAGTGTACGACGACAGAAACGTCGTAAATATGACAATGAAGGCAACAGTCCGAACAATGTAAATAGCGTAAATAATTTTATTAGTGCAGTGAGAAGGGAAGGGCTACATACTTGAGATTCTGAAAAAAATAAATAATTTCGTATACATACTATGCATTTCTTAATGTGATATTTGAACCTTATTTGATTTTTAGCATATTTCATGTTCTGCTGTGAGCTCCAATACTCTAGCTTTGTGCCATACTAAGTTCAACGTACGCAATAATTGCACAACGACAGTTCCTGCTAGGAACATTACTGGTTTTTCGGCAAAGTCCGAGGGAAACGGGTTAATTTCTGGATTAACTGCCTTAAAATACGATTTCTGTTTTGCTTTTCATATTGGGGTGTAAACGAATGTTTCGACAATAAAAAATGCATCTCTATGTCATTTTACCTTTTGGGGGCAGCAAATGACGGATAGCAAGTATTGCTGTGCATCCACATTTGCGTCCAACTAATCTGTACCGAACTAAACCAGGAGGTTAGCTAGGAAAATGGAATCGAATAGTGGAATTCAAATTCCGAGCTAGTCTGTTGCATTCATTTTCTCACTAATAAACTTGAGATGAATCCGCCTCGACTTACCTCAGCTATGAGTTAAATAACAAGGTAGACTAGGCTCTCTAACCTCGGATGGGTAAGTAAGGAAAACTGATTTCCAAACCGTGGGGAAGACAACGGGAAATTATATTTCCTAAATATGGAAAGCAATTCACAGATAATAAAGGATTGATTTGTTTTTTTTTTACTACTTATCAACCTTTTGCAGGTTATTTAAAGCCAGAAAATATTTGAGGAACGTAAGAATTTTTTTGAGATAATAATGATTTACTGATACAAATCCTGCTAATTAACCCATACCTGGGGGGCAGTGGTCATACCTTTCGGATGTGTATTTGTGCATAAGTGAATATAACGAACACTGCCGGGATTGGAACTGGAACTCGGCTCTCTGATTTCCAATTCTGAGCCGTTATCCATTACACCACCCACACATCCAAGCTTATAGCATCTAGTATTCCCAAACGGTCATCCATCTATGTACTGACCGGTGATCGTCCGAGAACCGGTGTTCCAACGTGATGCGGTGCATGAAATACGGCTCATTATAAGGCACACGACAAAAAAAGTCAAGATAACTTTCCGTTGAAGGTGCGTCATCGATTTTCACTACAGAAGACCATACGGGTCATAGAAATGGGGAAAAGCTATTTTTTTCTTCCTTGGGAAAACTTTTTTTTTCTTCTATAATTAAAAAACTGAAGTCTTAATATAATATTATCAATGATGACGGTGTGATTAAGACACGCCGCTGCAGGTAATTTATTTCTAATTTATTCATTTGAACATACAGAAAACATTTTTTTAGAAAAAATATTATGAACGTTTTTTTTAGTGAAAAATATAATGAAAACGTTATTTTTTTCCTGTTTCTAATTTAAATTGTCTATATATGATTTTGTAAAAGTTTCCTGTTTCTAATGCAAAAGATACTTACACGTATGATCTTCCTTAGTGAAAATCTCCAATGGTTTATAATGCTGAAAACGTTACTTTTGCCGAAAGTTTACAAAATTTCAAAAGCATTGAATTTAATCATTGTCTATATATGATTTTTTAAAAGTTTCCTGATTTAAAAGCAAAACATATTTACACGTATGATCTTCCTTATTGAAACTCTCTAATGGTTTATAATGCTGAAAACGTTACTTTTGCCGAAAGTTTACAAAATTTCAAAAGCATTGAATTTAATCATTGTTTATATATGATTTTTTAAAAGTTTCCTGATTCAAAAGCAAAACATATTTACACGTATGATCTTCCTTATTGAAACTCTCTAATGGTTTATAATGCTGAAAACGTTACTTTTGCCGAAAGTTTACAAAATTTCAAAAGCATTGAATTTAATCATTGTCTAAATATATGATGATTTTTAAAAGTTCTCTAATGGATTGAAAAAGCGAAAACATATTTTACACGATTATGATCTTCTTATTGAAACTCTCTAATGGTTTATAATGCTGAAAACGTTACTTTTGCCGAAAGTTTACAAAATTTCAAAAGCATTGAATTTAATCATTGTTTATATATGATTTTGTAAAAGTTTCCTGATTCAAAAGCAAAACATATTTACACGTATGATCCTACTTAGTAAAAATAATCAGTAGTTTAAAATGATCAAAATGTTATTGTCAACGAAAGGCTAAAAAAAAGAAAATCAATAAACATCGTTCTTAATAATTGTTCTGTATATGGTTATGTATAAATGCGAGATAATGTGGGTGAACAAGTGAGAAAGAAAAAAATATAATAAACGTTATTTTCCTTATGAAATTAGGTGGATCATTCCGAATGTCAAAGGAGCCTCATGCGATCCGTAGGTCGCAATTTGCCTATGACTGCTCTAAGCCCGAGGGTAGACATAACGTTTAAAAAAAGCAAAAAGAAGTCTAAAAGATTAATGTTTAAATATCAAACAAACTTTCTGGCGAGATATGGCTAGGAAGCTAGTTTTGCGGATTTAGTAAATATCAGCTTAAACAGATTTATTTATTTGTTTTTAGGTTTTTCAGGATTTTCTAATTGTTACTCGACATGTCTGCTTACAAAAGCCTGTCTAAAATGTCGTTTTTGGGTGCGAATCGGAAGGCGGAAGATCGAAATCATGTTTCCGAAGCAGGGTCACTGGTGGTGTGGTTTCCTTTTTGCGACGAGATATAGACTACCTCTCACGGTCTTTTCGGTATTGACCCTGATAACGATGGTTAAGTGGGGGTCATTAATCTCTGCTTTTCTGCTACTGTCGGCGTTCCCTCAAAAACCAGTTCTTAAAAAAAAAAAAATGAAAAGGAAAACATGATACTTTTTTTCCTTTTCACATATTCAGCTAATTTTTTGACGAAATCCCTTCTTAGGGATTCTGTAGCATATTCTTTTCCAACTCATGTTTTCAATTTTAAATGTCTTCCTTTCTATTCTGTTCTTCTCTCACAATTCTTTTTAACTGCATCCTTTGCCTTTTCATCACTCTCTCTATTCTTTCTATCTCTCCTTTTTCTGCTCTCTTCCCCCCTTGTCTTCTCAATCTTTTTTTTTTTTCCTTTCAATCTGCCTGTTTTCTCTTTTTCTATGACCGCCAATTTCTCCTCTCTCCAGGTTATTTTCTTCTCACTCTCTTTCTCTTCTCTCTCGTCTGCTCACCCACATTGTCTATTACTCTCTCTCTCTCTCTCATTTTTTTCTGCTTTATACTCACATTTCTTCTTCTTCTCCTTTCCTATCACTGTCTTCTACATCTCTATCTCACTTTTATTTCTCTTCGCATATTTTTTCCTTTCATTTCTTAATATCTTTTAACTACCCTCTTTCTCTCATTCTCACTCTCTCTTATTCTTACCGTTGCATCATTCTTTCTCTCTACTGGTTTCTCTTAACACGCCCTTTCTACCTACTGCAGGTTTTATCTTTCTTTCTCTACACACACACACACACACACACACACACACACACACACACACACACACACACACACTCTCTCTCTCTCTCTCTCTCTCTCCACTCTTTTTACATATTTATCGTTCTTCTTTTCTACTTCTCCTCCTCTCTCTTTATTTCATTTATTATTCTCTCTTCATTATTTCCTTTTCTCTCCCTTCAAGTTATTTATCCCTTCTCTCTCTCCTCTCTTTATTTCAGTTATTCTCTCTTCTCCCTTTCGTATCCCCTCCCTTCAAGTTCTTTCGTTTAGCTCCCTCTCCCTTTACTTCAGTTATTATTCTCTCTTCTGTCTTTCTTTTTCTGTTCCTTCAAGTTCTCTCCTCTCTCTCTCTCTCTCTCTTTATTTCATTTATTTTTCTCTCTTTTTCCTTTCGTTTCCTCTCCCTTTAAGTTCTTTAGCCTTTCTCTCCTCTCTCTCTTTATGTCATTTATTACTCTCTCTTCTTCCATTCGTTCCCTCTCCATTCAAGTTCTGTCTCCTCCCTCTCCTCTCTCATTATTTCATTTATTAATATGTCTTCTGTCTTTCTTTTCCTATTCCTTGCATTTCTTTCACCTTTCTCTCCTCTTTCTTCATTCCAGTTATTACTCTCTCTTTTTCCTTTCGTTTCCTCTCCCTTTAAGTTCCTTCTACTTTATCTTCTCTCCCGTTATGTCACTTATTATTCTCTCTTCTTCCTTTCAGTTATTATTCTTTCTTCATCTTTTCTTTTTCTCTCCCTTCAAGTTCTTTCACCTTTCTCTTCCCTCTTTATTTCATTGGTTATTCTCTCTCCTTCTTTTCGTTTCTACTCCCTTCAAGTTCTTTCGCCTTTTTTGTTTAGATTTTCTGTTTTCTCCATATATAGACATATAGATAGATATGAACAGAGTGCGATATATATATATATATATATATATATATATATATATATATATATATATATATATATATATATATTATTCGGACTATTGTCCTCATCTTTGTCGCCATATTTATTATAACGTTTCTGCCGTTGTACGCTCCGGCCTTCTTCAGGTGGTTGGAATGTCAAACTGAAACCTTTATTTCGCTCACTGGGGTAGACTGTCCTAGTTCATCAAGAAACATGGCACAGTGGATAAAGGCGTTGGTTAGATCCAGTGACAGGACCCAGAGATTGTGAGTTCAATACCCGGTTAAGGCAGTGGAGAACTTGGAGAGGGGAATTAACAGGAGATAACTGATAACTGACATCCATTAAAATATAGCACGTGGAACTAGAACAGTCTACCCCAGTCAGCGAAATAAAGGGTTCTTCAGTTCGACATTCCAACCACCTGAAGAAGGAAGAATAATGTAAATAGTGTACATAATACCTCGTCTCAGAAATATAGACAGATACTAGATTTACTTTCGAAATAGCTAGAAGTAACCGTAGGTTCGATTCCAGTTGTTTCTTTTTTGGTGGCATTTCGTCTTTTAGAATGCAACCTAAACGTAAGTAACATGATGGGGAGGCGCTCGTCTTGAATTTTTCATTAGTTTATTAGTTAGTAAGAACAATTAATCAAATAGATTAGTATAAATCTTAGGGAACACTCCTGTCATTTTGCTTTTTTTCCCCCGGGGATAGGGCGTTACCAGTATGAATATGCAATTATCTTCATTCTTTTAATGGTTGAAAGGTCGGTAGATTCTGGATATTTTTCAGAATGTACACCTTAAGATGTTCGTCTAAATTACAATAGTTCGTGATAAAATGTTCCGCAAGTTCTCTTCATGTCGCATTGTTGCGTCGGGCAGCATACCTGTAGCCATTAAATCTTTTGTTTCATTTTTATGTCGTGCAAACCACATACATCAAGTCCAATGTACCAAACCTGACTTTATCCAATCAAAGACCCAATTATGGTGGAATTTTTGCGTGTGTATGTCGGGGGAGGGGTATAGTATAGTGTAAAACGAAAGAACAGACATTTTTCAGAAACATTTGACCAATTCCCAAGTGTTCCTACATCTTGAAGCGAATAATTTCCACATCTGGCGGTAGATATTATTTCAGCAAAATTCATTTGACGCCTTTCAGAAAATGTCTAAGTTTCCAAAGTGTTATCCGCCATTAACGTCGGCGCCTGTATTGAGATTTACGAAGAGAATAATTGTGCCGGTCTGTAATTCTGTAATTCCCATGAAGAGGAAAAGAATGATATAGGGAGTAGGAGTAGGAGTGGAACAAAAAGAGAGAAAGGTGAAAGGAGACAAAGGAAGGAGGTGAGTATATAATAAACTAGAGCTTGAAGGGTATGGAAAACAGTAATGGCGAAAGGGAAATAGAAGACAAAGAGTGAAAGTTATATAGAGAAGGGGAGGAGTAAAAAAAAAGAGAGGAACGGAGACCGAAGAAAGCCTAACGTGAAGAGTGTGAGGAGAAATGGCAGGGGAAGTTTGATATGAATCAGAGAAAGAGAGGGTAATGAACGAACAGAGAGAGAGAGAAAGAGGGAAGAGAGAGAGAGAGAGAGAGAGCTTGTAAAAGAAAGAGAAAGGGGGTAAAAAGAAGAGAGACTGTAAAAGTGCGATGGAGAAAGGGAGGAGAGGAGGTCAGAATGGTAGTGAATGAAGAGTGAGAGTTATATAGAGAATGAGAGGAGTGAAAAAAAAGAGAGGAACGGAGACTGAAGAAAGCCAAATGTGAAGAGTGTGAGTAGAAATGATAGGGGAAGTGTGATATGAAACAAAGAGAGGGTAATGAACGAACAGAGAGAGAGAGAGGGAAAAGAGAGAGAGAGAGAGAGAAGTAAGCTTGTAAAAGAAAGAGAAAGGGGTAAGAAAGAGAAAAGAGACAAAGGGAACAGAGTTAGAATGATAAAGAGAGGAAAAGAAAAAGAGAAAACGAAAGAACAATAGAGGGGAATGGAAAGAGGGGTAAAAACAAAAGTAGGAGAAAAATTCAAAGGCAAGAGAAAGGGAATATAAAATATGAAAGAATTTAATGGCTGGTCATTCGTATCCAAGGCTGCCAGTCTGTCAGCTAATTACAGATACCCGCTCAGGCACATTTTGTGCTTGTTCGACACTCCAGAGGCCAGCTATGGTTTATACTGCAACTATGCTGGGCAGACCTTAGTTACAGTTTCTGAGAGAAAAGCGTGTTATCAACAATCTGAACAAAGCCAGCACGCTCAAACCCTCAGTCACGATGACTTGTGACTTCATACTAGCACAACCATTGACGACACGCAAGGATTCCGTCTACCAATGTAACTCACAAGTCTTGGGTCAACTCGTTGTTATCAAGCTCTTTCCAAAGGTAACCCACCCGAAGACCTCCTCCAGACCGATAACATCTAGAAGTGACCTTCCTGACAAATCGACCTGGTGAGATTCGAACCCGGGGTCTTATGGTCAGAAAGCGAACTTTCTAAACACGTGCCCATACACTTCGTTAAAATGAATCGAGTTCACTCAGTCAGTTACTCTTAAATTCACCTTCATCCCTGCCGTGCGCCAACGATTTAGGGGTAGATTCTCCGATTGACGCCAATTCAGCCAGGTTTTAATTACACCTTGAAGCAACCGGACGTCTAGCCACACTGATTAGATGTGATACAATCTGTCTATATATATAATTCCCTATAGGGGATGCAGGTTCTAATCCTGCCGGAGGACGTATATTTTTCTGAAAAAAGTTCTCGTATATTCGGGACGGTAGATGTAGTTGGATCACAAATACTGTTTTTTTTAATTAAACATTTTTAATTAAACTCGAAAATGAGTATCCATTAAAAATAACGTTTAAACAAAATAAATTAAAAATATGTCAGATTTAATCCATTTGTTAATATATATACATATACATACATACATACATATATATATATATATATATATATATATATATATGTGTGTGTGTGCATGCATATATATATATATATATATATATATATATATATATATATATATATATATATATATATATATATATATATATATATATATATATATAAATATATAAATAAAAGAACAGTAAGATTTACAATCCGGTCTTATTTTTATGTTTAAAAAACAGTGCTCGATACAAGAACTATAGAGCATAATATCATAATTATTTTCCATTTTAAAATATGGTTCCATCGCTACACAGGAATTACCATGTTTCAAAACAGAAACTAAAATTTCAAATTTAATTATAAAATTCAATTTAAAATCAATAGTAACCCATTAAGACGTTTATTTCATTTATAAGTACAGAAAATCTTAAATTGTTTATATCATTTATAAGCACGGACAATTTTAAATTATTAAGGTTACTGTAGATTCAAACATTTTGTAGTGTTAGTTGGGTTTTAAATATTAAAATACGACTTACTCATATTCAGACGACCCTTTCAAGAAATCTTTTTCAATGAAATTATCAATTAAGCGGTCGAATAAAAATGTCTCCAAATTTTTATCATTGAAAACTCAGACGACACGCGAAAAAAAAACAAAAACGGATGTTATTGTTTGTGAGCAGGCACCCCCACACCACCTTAACTTAATCTGATTTTGAAACTTCTTTATATTTGATATATAAGTTGTCTAAGGAAATTAAAACCCACTACCCTTTATCAAAATGATTTTGACGGCATGGGTACACCATTTTGAAATAAAACACAGCTGCACACATGCGCACAACGGAGTTTGAGAAAGATGAATAGATTGAGGAAGAATTATATTTGAAAAAAACTGAGATATTTTGATATGAATATATTTCAATAGAGAGATAGATATCAAGAGATTGATATATATATATATATATATATATATATATATATATATATATATATATATATATATATATATATATATATATATATATATCCAGATACGATGAGAACGAATAAAATTCCAGCGTTCATATCATTTAATTTAAAAGAGGTCTGAATGCAGTGGAGAGTAATATTTTTTGTTTTAGTACATTACACCGAAAACATGTCAAAATCGCTACACAATTGCAGCCGTGTTTCAATGCGTATCAATGCATCTCACCAGGCAATCGCCTGAAGAAAAAAACTGTCAGCTCGGTACACTCATTATGAAAACATGTAGCCACCATCCAGATATATCAGCAAAAAATCCTCGACAGTGACCCTTATTAAGGCCTCAGAAGAAGAAGGGAACCGGAAACCCCTTCTTAAACAGGAAACAAGGGATGAGCATCGACTATCCTAAAGAAGTGGGGTGCGTATGAACCGGGCGATAGGCAGACCTATCTGCTCTTATTAAAAATGGCGGAGGGGAAAAGGGGAAATTGTCTGTTAAGTTTAAACATAGTATGAGTCGAAATCTGCATTCCCAGAATAACGTTGGGTGGGGAATTAAAACTACACATAACGTATGAGTATGAAGTGTCTGTGTGTAAATCTTGGTTTAGCATTTCAAGTTAAGTATCGTCTTGGAATGCCATCCCAATGACTTCTTTTCAAAATGCCAAAAGTTCAGCGCATCAGGATATCGACAATTGGCTATTTTTGTTTGGACTTTTGGGGCGGGGATGGTAACCTATGCGTCATGAAACCTTCTGCCTTTCTCAAAAACTGTGTATTGATACCTATCAAACTCACACACACACACACACACAGACACACACGCGCGCGCGCGCACACACACACACACATGCACAAACACACACACACACACACATAGAGAGAGAGAGGCAGCATGTCATTATTGAAGCTTAGGTTATTGAAGACGACGGAACATTTTCGTTGAATAAGCAAGTTTCATTGTACTTGGGTTTTTCATCAACTTAAACCCAAATACAAAGAAATATTGGAGAAAGCAAAAAAAAAAAAAAGAAAAAAATCGAAAGTAAGATTATTAAACGAAAAAATTCCGTAATTCAATAACAC